GTCCCGTACCGTACCATCAAACACAGCTAGCTGGCCACATGCAGCTGGCCGCAATATTCAAATAGGGCTTTCAAACGCAAGATCATAACGTGAAGCAACTTGGAAGAATGAGTATGAATGCGAAGTGTATGAGGGAATGCATGTAGGGCGATAGTGCGGGTTCGAATCCCAGGTTATGCCTGAAAAAAAGGAGAATTGAAAAATTTATAACATCCCTATGCTTTTTTTGCCTATGTCATCAATGCGGTAGACGGTGTCGTATTACCTCGACCGTACCTGTCCCGTACCTGTGCCATACCGTACCGGACCATCAAAGATGGCTGGCCACAAAAAAAACCCAGAATGCATATTCAAATAGGGCTTTCAAATGAAAGATCATAACGTGAAGCAACTTGGAAGAATTAGTATGTATGTATGCGAAGTGTATCGGGGGATGCATGCAGGGCGATAGTGCGGGTTCGAATCCCAGGTTATGTCTTAAAAAAAATGAGAAATTTATAAGAATTTATAACATCCCTATGCTTTTTTTGGTCTAGGTCATCAAGGCAAAAAAGCATAGCGTAGGGCCCTGAGCTTCCAAGCTCTCTCGTTTAGAAACGAAAACTAGTCATTTCTCGTCAACCCCCCCCCCCCCTCCCCTCCCTGAGATACGAACACATACAAACGGTACATAGAATCGATATTTTTTTCCTTTTTATCTGGACATGCCCACACATACAAACTGTGCGTCGATATTTCTCGTTAAACGAACATGCGCTCAACCCCCTCCCCCTAAACGACTAGTTTTCATTTCTAAATAAATATCTATATTTACGGATGGCCCCTAATGACTTCCAGGATAGACAGAATTCCGAAAATTATGATAAAAAGTAGCCGGTTCAGGGGACGGACACAAAAAGAATGCCCACTTAGTCAATTGATTGGCTGTGCATATGGCAACGATCACGTGACATGTGATAACATTGTTCCTGCGAAGTCTGTTCACACATGGACCAAACCGCCAGCTCATCAATTCCAAATGGCATCACATCATTCGGACAAACGTGTACAGAAGGCTAATTCTACTGTGTCAGATCATTCATATAATGTCATTTACTTTATAGGTGGCAGGTGCAATCCAAAGCAATTTCAAACCAAAGCAAATGTCACAACTTGGCAGGTTTCCGCACTATGTACAAGTATGCATTATCTGAAGAATATAAAAAAGGAAGGTTTCGTTTATAAAGTTGAGGAGGGAGTTGAATATGGGACATGTAAAAATAATTTTTCTGTGCTTTATAAAAGAGATTCATTATAATGAATAGAATAACCCGTGCATTACAATCCAAGATGATGGACTACGTTTGCAATATACCGGTCCGAGAATAGCAGACCAGAGCTAGCAATGATGACGATTTTATAGAAAGCATAGCGTAAGGGGCACGCCAAGATTCGAAATATTCCAAATAATATCATGCAGTGTATAGGACTGAGCAGGTATTCAGTCCTACGTACACATAAAGCAGTCAGGAAATAATTTTGCGCACGCATGTGCTGACTGCTGAACCGCTACATATCACAATCGGTAATGTCAATTAAGCGTTAAGTCACAGAATGTACTCAACATGCATTGTTGGGAGTATGAACGCATGCACACACACACACACACACACACACACACACACACACACACACACACACACACACACACACACACACACACACACACACACACACACACATACACACAAAAACACACACACACACACACAACTTGGATATGATAATGAAAGTGCTACATTGCGATGTTAAGCGTAGTGTTGTTGACATGATGTATTAGAGATTGTTGCAACATGTCTCTTTTCTACTCTATTCCTATTTCCTATCTAATGTAATTGACTCGCCGGTGTTGTTGAGACGAAAATACGGATACCACTTTCCTTCACCGCTAGCGCAGTCAGATGGCAGGCTGAGGATCTTCACTCGTTCCATGCACATGGCAATCACCTCGATCCTCTGACGATTTAGATCGATACTCAAAATCACTGTGAAATCCTTGACTGGAAATCTGAGGTCGGAAGACTTGTCATGCGCATGCTGTTGACAATGGTCATCGCACAACCACCATCCTTGCACCTCCTTGCACGTCTCTGCTTCTCTGACTGTATCCTTGTCCTTCAGCTTTGCTACACCCATGAAAATGTTGTGATGATCTTCCCAGTTGATCACAAATCGCCAGCATGCTCTGCCGGATGAGTATCCGTTAGTACATACAGCCGTTGCACAGTCGGTATTAGTAGCAGTGACAGTGTAGCTGTCCTCAGAAATTGATAGTGATGTTGAGCGTAAATCACGGTTGATTGTATTGTAGAAATAACTCGTATACCAAGTGTACTTCTTCTTTTCAGCTGATGACACATGTACAGGATAACCACCACGGACAGGTTTGAACCCTTCAGTCTCACATACTGGTTTACCGTTGTCGTTGCGGCCCACTGTTAACTGCATTTCCTGCACATGATCATCAGGATGTATCAAGCCAACATGGATATCATCCGGGACAGTATCAACGTACAGCGGTCGTTTGTCAAAGCCTTCAAGTGGAAATTGGAAGAAACGCATATCTCCATCCGGTGTTGACTTGACGGTAAACGGTATCATCCTCTCGACGTCCACTCTGGTTGAGAAGACAGTTGTTTGTGACTTTACCATCTTGACGGCATGCTCCACAGCATTATCATCAATGGTCACACCTAGCTTTCCAGCGGTATGCATCACTGCTGTGTCCAGGTCTTCCAATGTCATACCACTCGTAGCGTCCAGAATGCTGCTGTGAAGCAATAAGACATGCGTGTCCATTGTTGATACCGTCTCTCTGGGGGAAGCATCAGAACAGCCTTGAGCAAGGCGTTCACCAAGCACCTGGATGGTGTCGATTGTCTGTCTCTTTGAATGCAGGCGGCTTCGCTCTGACTCCAACTGCTTCTGCTTTTTCCACCTGATCTGGTCGATCTCATCCTTCACACGTTGTTTGTCTTTCTCCAAGGCTTTGATCAGATCGTTGTAAAACGCTTCCACTTTCTTAGAGGCATCAGTAGCCTGCTCGTCAACTTGATCCACTGCAGCACTGAGGTCTGTTAGTCTGTCGTCCAAACCGGCCAGGTCAGACAATCCTGGAACACTGCTGATTTCCTTTACGGCTTCGAGAATTTCTTGCCTCTGCTTCTCGACAACATCCGTAGCAGGAACCGGGCTACTGTGTCCGTCGCGTATGTGCGCAGCACAACACATCCCGCATACAAGAGCAGAGCAAGTTCCACAATACAGCGACAACACCTGGCCAGCGTGAGTGGGACATTTAGCTTGCACGTCGTCTGAAAGCGGGTTCGACCCACCTTCGGTAGTGTTGGCGGTGTACAAGGTACCTGCGGAAGGTGGCAATGTTTGCCACGCTGGGTTGCGAGCACTCCCCGCAGCAGCTCCGCCATCGGTCAATTTTGTTTCTTTTCTGCACAATACGCAATGAACGCTGGCCGTCTCCGGATTGACGCTGTCCTTCAAGCACCCATCGCATAGGACGTGCAGGCAGCGAAGCAAACGTCCACTGTCTGGCTTTTCAGCTTCGCACTGGACGCACGCGCTAGAAGACTTGAACATTGTGAATGCTCGGGTGATGGAAAGAATAGGTTGCGATCCAACGATTCCAACACGATGTGAAGATTGGACACCTTTTTCCGTGTCTGTATAAATATTTCGATGCCTGAGCGATAGAGAGACTGAGCTGAGTGAGACCGACCTTACCTGTATGGAACAGTGTACGGGAAGGTTTCGAGGTCGCCTATGACTATGACTATGACTATGTCGATGTGGCTCTGATTGTGAGGCCGTTTCTGCCACGGACCGCAGCAGCACAGGCACGGACAAGAATCTGGGCATGTTGAAGGGGATGTCCCTCCAGGTCTCCTCGTATCAAGGCGTGGACTTGGTACAATAGTCATTGTATGGTTGTACATGTAGCAAAGTGTAGCGTTCCTGTATCCCAAGTGATGTCAACCATCTGTCTTTGAAGTATGGGGCTCTTAAGTGTGACGTCACGGCTCCTTCGATACGCATAGCAACGGAGAGCACTGGGGACAAACAAAAGTCGCGTCCTCTGGATGGAACCAGATGTCAAGGGCAACAGCATCTAAATGACTGGAGAGACAGTTGTTTTTCTTTGCTTTTTCTTCAAGCGATTGTTGTCGCTCTTTACTCCTTGTTCTTTCCTCTACAAAACTCCTGTAGTCGTCGAGTGCCTTCATGATGGCTGTGAAATTGGCTGCCCACAGTAAAACTCCGTGTTTGAGAGTGCTTTGAAGATGTTTCGCGTCCTGATGGATCAAAGTATGAGCGCTCCTTGTGGATTCGATTATATAGGTGAGTTGTTCAAGAAATCAGTGTCTTCTTTCTGTCTCTGCCCTCACGCTGGCACAATATCAGCCTCTATATCCATGACAGCTCGCACCTCCCGTAAACTGCATGACTTAGATATATTTTCGCCCTCCGTGGTGATTGAAGACCCATGGAAGAATTTATTATGTTCAGAATGATGTCCTAAGAATATAAAATAAAATAATTCTAGGGAATTGTTATAGGGTATTTTTGGAAGGATGGAGACAGAGAGAGAGCACTGTTTGAAGTGTTTGTCTCACTGTAATTACTCCAGATTATTGAATGTTGTATAATCTACTCTATATTTTCCATAATGGTTTTTCCTGATTTGCGGGATCTCTTCTTTTGCTGTTTGCGTGTTTACAGGAAGTGGCTGTCTGGTGCAACTGCACCAGATCCTGGGGAAATGAAGTCAGATGCAGAGGCAGGGTCGTCCAGTGATGCAACACTGCAGTTCTGTGTGCAACGTTACCGCTAATACCCCCGGCGAAAACACAAAAAAAGACAAACACGTGAAAAGACTACAGTATTGACCGTTCTGCAAATAAATGCATGACTGCTCCGACAGTCGATAATCGAAACACAGAGCACCAGCATGATGTTTTCATATTGGGAACCACACAACAGCTCAATTCTCAAGCCCAAAAATTGATGAATACAAATACAGAGCGACGCAACAAGAGGTCATCCGGCAACCAAACAAACCTGGGTCTAATGCACTGAATAGTCCTGAAATAAGCAGGCCAGACAAAGCAGTGCAAGCACATAATGTTACAAGGTACAGGTCCTCCCTCATTATAACGAGTCCGGTTACTACATAAACCCCGTTAGTAAACAGAAATCTGAAATCCCCTGGCAAAACGTGGTCTATATAACTGTTTACAGGTCCGGTTACAACATAATCCGTTAGTACATAAAATCCGTTATAACGACCCTTTGCCCAGGTCCCTGGAGTGCCAACCCTCAGTATAAGATAATATCGACCATGCAGGACCAAGGCCAAAACACGTAGGATAAAGCAGAAAGAGGAAACATATTATGTCTATGTATTCGTGAATATGGACGATCCTTTCCATCCAAGGAAGAGCTATGTTGGAGTAACTTGGAGATTTTCAATTATCTTATAAAGAGTTGAAGCATCGATAAATTATGTTGTATCGAGGGTAGCCCCGGTAAGTACGAAGTAGTGCCTATTTCACCATTAGCTGCAAGTCCTGCTACAAGATAAGTATCGTTATAAGATAACTTTTTCGATGGCCCAGAGATTATCTAATAACGAGGGAGGACCTGTACATGCATTGCAGAACAAAGTGTAACCAAAGATACACAGGGGTATAGCTGCACACTCGTGCATGTGTTCACTCAGCCCAAGAACACACGATCATGATGATAGAAACAATCCGGGGGAAACACGCTAACACCGAAGTAAGCATGAACACGTAAATAGTGCAGCTCTGAAAAAATTACATTGACATGAACATTGGTGTGTCGAGTAGTATCAGGCTTGAATAATCATCCAACCAAGACTTCATCAGGTCCCAGACGCTGAGATCGCACGCCGAATGTGAAGTGCATCTAGCCTTGAACCTGTCGCACAAGGCACACATATATGGCAAAATGACATCCACTCTGATTATTTCCAGAGGCCAATCATGACAGAACACAGAAATGAAACCACGGGCTCAACCAAGTAAACGCAAAGGAAGTTAGTCAAAATCATCCATGCAGTGCTCTTTTAATTGCAGCGCTGATTGCAGTGTTGTGTCATAGCCCGATACCCGCTGAGCACAGACACAACTCCATTTGTCAGGGGCAAGACATACTCTTTTGGAAAAAAGTCATAAAGTACAGCGTTCCAATGACATTACGGACACCTCGTGTAAATGCATGGTCTGTTCATCTGGCCGACTCGGCCACGCATGAGAGTGTGTGCATGTACATGCGCGCGCTTGCACGCGCGCGCACACACACACACACCATATATTCGGTGCGTATGGTGTACCAGTTGCGGGACAATGAAGATGGAATCATTATCATGATGTTACATGTACATCTACAGTGTATGTTTGAGTGTAAAGTAAATTTTAATTTATTGCACATTTCTTCGACACAACTAATTACTTACTTCACATGTTCGCATTTCTCATAATCGATCCACCTGCACTCCGTATCAGTCGAGGAAAAATTCTCCCAGATATACACTAGTCACCACAGCCATTGGGATGGGCCCCAAGCAGTGCACGATTGCACTCTCTAGTTACAATAAATTTGGCCAGATTATCTGTGAAGACAAAATGCAATGCATAGCGGCAATCGATGGATGAAGAGAGAGTTTGTAAATACCCATATCTTTCCACTTGTTCAGGAGCTTACCTTTTGGAGTTCACATCGTTTACACGATCTCTCCTGCTGTCTTGCACCTTGGTTTTGTTGACCATGGATACGCCAACCCAGAAAACATTCTACAGGAGCTACTAATGCAGAGCGTTTTTCACGCTCGATCTCGGCGATCTACCTTGTCACGCCAATAAAATCCTCCGTGACACTGGCTACAGTCACAAGAGACGTCTCAGTAAGGTAATGAGCACGACAACATCGTCGAGATCAAGGACAAAAAGAAAACAAAACACTCACTGAAAACAGCAAAGAAGAAACGAAGAAATGTACACGATTCCTATATGTTGCCACTGACAACTGGGTCGGTGGAGACGACGCTACTTTTGTTTGTCCCCAGTGGGATCGTTGTTATGCGTATCGAAGGAACTGTGACGTCATCACTTAACAGCCCCATTGACAGCATGTCACTGTCAGAATTTGGTGAGAAGCTAGTTTGGTTGTCATTGGTGATGATGGGCTCACAATATGAGGGCAGCGGCAGCCCCTTCAAATAATTACTAGAAACTGCAAAACCAGCACTTGTGTACTTGATATCAATCATCAAAATGTGACGTCAAAGTTTGGGACGCGCAGTGAGCTGGCTTTTGAAGATTCTTTTTCGATCGAGTGGGTTTCTTTGTTGTCAAAGGAGTTTCAAGTGTCTTCAAATGTCTCTGGTCAATTGATTTTAGCGCTTAAAAATGTGTAAGAATGTATCGAAGAGATTGGTGGGACTTGGGCGACACTTGGGGAGTTGTGTGCTGCTACCTATGTGGGAGCTCGCGCTTTTCCTGGCGACTTGAACTCTCACTTGACTGACTCACGACTGCCATCCAGAGCACACGAGAAGTTCATCGAACCCTTTCCTGCTATGAACTGCAACTTTGCACAATGCAAGTAGCCTGTTGCACATATCCTCCATCGTTTCAGTGCACGCAAAAGGGAATGCACATTACACAACTACCGTAGATGATACTGTTTCTCTGAAATGAGTCTGTGAAGGCACACGAGAATATTTACGAGTATGCATTCTGCCGACATGCAGTCTGTGACTTGACCTTTTGACGCCCATGCCATTGGTCCAAGTTGCGGAAAAGTTGCAAAGTAGTTTGCGAAAATGAAGGAAGTTGCGAAAGTTGCGATTTCTTCCAAAAAAACGAAAAGTTGCGGAAAAAGTGTCGAGCATCTTTGAGAAAGGGCTGATCATTACATGAAGCCGAAAATATTCGTGTTGCGCCCTAAATATTGTTGGATGGTCTGACATGACTTTTGTATTATTGCCCAAATCCGAAATCGATATCACCTCATAGTAGTCTACAGTCCGTTACACCCATTGTTGCGGCAGATCAGACCTTGTAGCAGCTACGACTAGCCTACGAGTACGAAGTGGGGAGTCATCAAAGGAACTCCCTGGATCTTTAAAAATCCTTTCCATGACTGTTGTCTTCCTGGTGCTTTCTGCGCTGGTGCTGTGTAGGTCTAGAATGAGAATACACTGTATCAAGGCCGTGAGTGGCATGTGCACATTCAGTTCTTACTTCACACTGTTCAGTGTAAGTCATTTACGCTGCTTTTTTCCATACGGGGTTTAACTATCTGGCTGTTATCATGTCTACTTATCTTCATTTTCTCTTCCAGCTAACCAGCTTGCACGACCATGGAGTACAGTACAATGTATGGCTCTGTAGTCAGATATCTCATCTTTCACTTCAAAGAGTCCTGAGCAAGGCTTGGAAGTGGGGGATGGATATGACAAACGATATGCTTTCTTCACATCACACTGTTCTACTTCAAATAGATTCAAAGCCTCGCATCTCTCCTCCAAGGCAAAATTTGCAAAGGTAAGCTGACTGTGCTGAATCGTTATCCAATGTGATGAGATACAATATAGATTGCATGTCGTTTTCAACCAAAACAGTGAACGCTGTCAAGCAGACCATTGAGAGTAGTTATGGTGGAAGTGGACGGGGAATGGTTTGTAGATATACGCTCCAATTTTACCCAATGCTGAAGACAGCAAGCTGTTCCGGCCATCAAGGCCTCATCGGTACAGATACGAGCTCTTAAAAGTACGGCAAACTACCAGCCATGGTGCAAAGGTGGCACCACAGACATTAAAAGACAGCTCGTCGCTCTAGCGGCAGAGTGCTCAAACTATGAATAGTTACGGGCGATGCGGAGCGCAGCAGCAGTAAAGCGGCCGACCAAGAGTGCTCAACAAGACGAATGCTGGGGAGGGTAATATCCAATATGCTTCAATTTTGTTCAAGCATAAGATATGATGGTAAGTGATGCGCCCAGGGTCGACCAATGGTTAACCCATGGTTAAAACATGGTTAACCCATGGTTAAAACATGGTTAACCCATGGTTGGCCAATGGTTGCTGCTACCTTGACGGTTAGATGTTGATATCGGATGAGCCGGTGTCCCGGTTTTTGGACATTGGTGCGGTTTTAACTATGGATCAGCACTTTGGTTTAGTGGTTGTAGGCTTCTGTGTGGATCACGAGGTCCTGATTTCTAGATCCGCGCTAACAGCTGGGAGCGCGCACTGTGCTCTCTCCAATGCGGCGAAGCATGCGGGAACAACTTTTGCAATGAACTGTGCTGACACCCAATAATGCCACTACAAGGAGCCTGTGAGTGCAATATGGATGCAGTTAACGTGGCTTTTCCCCCTGTTAGGGTTTGATTATGAGACTTGCCATAATTATTTGACATGTCTGAAATGATACCACATACTCATAATTATAGTTATGGCACAAACATTACCCCTTCACAACATGTTTATATCCAACCTCATCACACCGGGATTTCATGTGGTACATAGTCCGGCCAAACGGGATACTTGACCATTGATGCACATCATTGAAAAAACCTGTTTTTCAATGAATTGAGTTGGTATTCACTGGTTTGAGAGAAAGACGCAAACGGGAAAATTGAATTGGTCAATTTTTTTTCGAAATAAGGTTCGGCCATCGCGAGACTGGCTGCACCGTGTGCGACAGACATGCACCAGCTCTTACAAAGCTTCTGACTGGTTTGCTAAAATTTGATAACATGCTTGCTTCAAGGTCAGCCGGATGTTCGCATAACATAATATGGTGTGATAAGTCATGTGCCCTGTGTTGCTGCAACTTGAAGGGTACTCAGTAGATGTTGAGACCAACAATACATGAATGTCAACCAGCTTAGCCATGTCCACACGACGGGTTCTGCACATCCTGGGACCCAATGTGTTCTTGCAGAGCCTCAAGGGACAGCAGACAGTGGCTGTTCTGCATTTTCTGTGCAAGTTGACTAGAATGCACGGTGCTCCTATGTATGATTTCCCCGGCCCTTTTCTCTTCACCCCAGCTGAGCCTGTTAACTGCATTCAATGTTAACAGACTAAGGGTCAGAAACAGTCTCCCTTTAATTAACTGGTCCCAACTACGGCTCTCGCTCCAGTTGAAGAAATATCCTCCCATCTTCACTTTTCAGCAAACTACCATCCCTTATCGGCGTTCAAGCTTTCAAAACCAAAGTCCACTGTCATCTCCGTAGTGGCCATTACCTACGGGTCACATACCCCTCTTTTTGTAAATCACCTCTTTCATTATGCTCCCTTGCTCATCTAATCCCCAACCTTCTGATTAGTTATGTCAGTGGCGACAATTTATCTCATGTTTCTCTCTCCTTTATTGTCAAACTGCTTCTCTCTGCATTTACATAACTTCTTTCCCTCTCCCTTCAGAAATTTCTTTTCTCTCCCAGTCAGCCCCCATAGTCTATACCTTATCGTGTGCGTAATAGCGCCAAGACAAGAGGTCAGTGTTGCTGGCATGCCTCACTTGCGCAGGCTCCAAAGTCCCAAATGTTGTGGTTTCATTGCTGTATCTTCAGTAGAATGTATACTAGTATGTGTATTGAAGCTCCAGCATCTACTGTGTGGCTGGGTTGAGTCACAAGATGTGGATTTCTATCCAGTACCTCGGGAAGAGTTTCGAAGCATTTCAGATGCGCGTTAACTACTAAACTTCAAAGAATATAAGTCGCAACTTTTCACGCTTTTAAAAAGGGCAAAGAAGAGGAGAGAATTCCGATGAAGTGTGACATGATCCTACCAATGTTACTATATTGAAACGGATTGAGTATATTGAAACAATAATAATATGGATCAGATCTGGATTGGGAGTGTGATTTATAATCGAGTGCTACTTATACCGGTAACCGGCGAAATACGGTAATAATATTATGCTTCCCGATTTCGAATCAAGTAGCTTTGCTCTGGAAGAAGATGAATTGTACAGGAGTACGGGAAGAAAATTGTATAGTGGTGAGGGTGGGAGGAATGGGTGGGGGTATACTGAGACTAGACTCTTTTGCTGCCGTATCGGGAACTGCCAATTGCTGCAGAGTTCATCCAGGCTAAACTCCATGCAAGGTATAACGTTTTCCAGTTAGAGTGCGGATGCAGTTTTAGGAGCTCCGCTCCTATCAGCCTTTCCGAGTCTGTAACTGTAACCTACAGGAGCTGTGACTTGTACTGCGGACTATGGCCACCAATGAGCATGTCGACCTGGCCCTTCTGACGTTCGACTGTCTACAAAACCTGGCCACCCGGACTGGCATCCCGAAAGCGGACTCCTTCTCACGGCCCGACCTGGTGGGAGCGCTCCGGAAGGAGGGGATTGGGTCCCACCCCATCCTGGAAGGTATGACCGGTATAGGACATGTCACGACTGCTTTGGCCGCATTGTCCTCGACAATAATGGACCTGAATAAAGAAATAGTGGCAATTAGGGTGGGAAGAGATGATGAAATTGCTTCCTTGAAGCTTGAAATTCAACAGCTGAGGCGGGAAATGGCTGACCTGCGAGATACTAGCGTACACACACAGCACGCCATGCCACACCAGTACAGCGACGTAGTACTAGGAACCGCCACACAAACTGCAAGTGCACGTGCGAGGCTCAGCACCACAACGGGCAGGTCTGTACAAACGTACGGTACACACGCCGGCAGTGGCAGCCTGCCAGGAGAAACGCGTGTGCAACAACCCAACACTACTACAAGTCGTAGTTCCAGCCCCGCAGCAGGCGTGCATGCATCCCGTAGGTCCAGCACTACTACAAGTCGTAGCTCCAGCCCCGCAGCAGGCCTGGATGCATCCCGTAGGTCCACCGATACTGAACAACAAGTACATGAATGGCAGGAACACCAGGGCAGACGCACTCGAGCCGCCCAGAGACAAAGGCACGCGGCAGATACTAGTAGTCAGTCCCAGCTAGCTCAAAGCATAACAAGGCGGGTGGAAACATCCCGCTACACCAAGCCGGCTCGTGATAGCGAGCCGGCAGTAGACCTCACGGCATCACCCCGGGCCAAACGCAAAGTGTTTTACGTTGGCAACGTGCAG